CAATTCAAACCTAACATCATTAAATGGTGGAGGTGTGTTTAGGAAATATCACTTGTTAGACAATTAGTCCTTTAATGAGAATTATGCTATGATTCCACTTGTTCGACATGTGACTCCACGCATAAGAGGGGGGGGGGGGGGGGTTGAATTGTGAAATTCAGAAAAACTATGAAAAAATTTATGATTATTTTTCAGAGTTGAAAAAAATTTAAAAACATTTTAGAAATTTGCAGTAGAAATTAATAATGCAAAATAGAGTTAAGGGAAAGAGAAATAACACCTGAAAGTATAGAGGTTCGATCAAAAATAAAAAAACCTAATCATTTTCCCAAGAATTGTTCTTGAGAGTATATAGTAAATTTTATGAGATTTTAGTAGGTTGAACTCTCAAACCCCTTTAAACAAGGAAATGTGAATTTTTAGACTAACTTCCAACCAACAACGAACAATAGAAAGTATTGATTAGTCTTCCTTCCAAAAAAATTTTGCAGAGTGAAGTGATTAGTCTTCCTTCCAAACAACAACTTAAAGTGGTTAGTTCCCAACCTGAGCAAAGATTTTAAACAGGCTTATCTCGAACCAAGTTGAGCTTTTGACAGGTTTGAAATCACGAACTGGACCTGGGTTTTATCCAGAATCACCATGAACCAATGATATTTTTATATTGTGCTTATCTTAAACTAATGCAAGCTTTTAACCGAGTTGAGCTTACGAACCAAATTAGGATTTTTAACAGGATAACCACAAACAAAGGTGAGGTTTTAAACTGGGTTTATCTCAAACCAAAGAAAGCTTTTTACCGAGCTTAGCTTATGAACCGAAGTGGCAACTTAGAACCTAAATCCCCAAACTAAAGCTTTTAAATGGTTTAGCTTTGAACTCAAACAAACATTCCTTTATGGATAAATTATTAAACCAAGGTAATAATATTCTTTGGTGAGTTTACAATTATACCCATTTGACAATACAAAAAATCCTCACAAAACAAAAGAACTTTCTCGAAAGCGCTACGACTAAAATATGTGAGAGAAAGGTGAAAATATTTTAAAGAGAGAGAGTGTGAGAAAAGATAAAATAATCACATTTATAGATGTGAAAATAAGAAGGGAAGAGCCTTTATTTATAGGCTAGTGGTGAGCACAAAAGTTGAAATTTTCTTGGGCCAAAACTATTGTGTCAATCGTTTGGCACTTTGTTCCAATCAATTGAATACTTTAAAAATAATCGATTAGAAAAGTTATAAAGGAAAGAAAATATCTATAGATGTTGTCTTTCATTAATAAGATCTCACAAACGTTTAAGGACATCTTTTTCACTAACCCAATTGATTGGGTATGATTGTCAATCGTATGGACAATACAGTTTTTGTCCTAAATCATTCAGACAGTGTCTGATACGACTGGCATGACTTCAAAACATTTTTAGAGATATTTTATAAATAAATATAGGCTTAAAAACTTATTTTGTGTGTGTGTGTGTGTAATTTAGACGTATAATTTTACAAAAAATCCATTTGTGTTTTTATAATAGACAGTTCACTTAGACGTGACAAGTCTATCTTTCACACTTTCTCTCTTTCATACTTTAAAACTTCAAGACTTGTCAAGTAAACCAATCATATAGACATTTGTTTGAATCTTCTTGGTGATGAATCTTGAGATTTATTTCGGTTGAATACCATTATTTGAGGATCAACCCCTAACTTGTCGGAACGTATCTTTAACCGCTTTATTACATTGAGGTTGCATCAAAAGCTTGTCCTTTATATTTCCCTTTAAGTTGTCATTATCAAGTTATCATCTTCAAAAGTACATTGACAAAGGCAAATCAGAATGTATTTGATCACTTTTCTTGAATATCCTGCAAAATATTTTTCCACATGAATGAGGCATGGTAGAGTGCCGCAGCATGCGTCGATTCGCATGGAAAGAGTCTGGCCTCTAACCCCACCGGTCGGTGCCAGTTCATTTGATACAGAGGTGTCAACTTCTGGGGCTCAAGTGTCTCTGACTTTGTCTTTCTAGAGGCAGATGTCACCCAATGCTGCCCCATAAGCCTCATTAGTCAGAGTTGATGCACCTAATGTTACCATTCCTAAGGATTTTGGAAGAGTCACGTTGACTTATCATTGTTTCCTTTTTATGCGGCTCATGCTTCCAGGCGTGTGTTACAGAGAGGGAAAATTTATCTTTATTTATCCTTTGAAACACATATGTTTTAATATTCAAAAGTTTTGACGATGATTTATTTTTGCAGTACCGTGATACTTAAAAAAGTATCAACCATGATTGGAAGATTGTGATGCTGCACCAGCTTGAGGGCACTGGTTTCATAATGCCATGAAGTTATCTGGGTTGCAAGATTTATACATGATCGACTATACTACTATTAACTACGATATGATGTCAGTGTTCGTTCAGAGATAATACTCTGAGATATTATCTTTTCATCTTCTGCATGGTGAGATATACATCATACTTGATGATTTGTCGTGCTTGTTACATCTTTTGATCAGGGGAAGATTACTAGACCTCTAAAAACACGATTACTAGAGTTGATGATAGTCTATTTAGGAGTTGACCCAACGGATTCCCTAAAAGAGATTGAAGACACCATAGCGACTCATACTAGATTTGGATTCTTTTAGAGCTAGTATACACACCACATGGTTGCGAAAATGTAGGATGATGGTGATGGTAATGGTGATCAGGTTATGCATCATAGAACATGTGCATTGAGTTCATACCTCTTGTACATGGTTCCCACATCCATATTTGTGAGCAATAGTGCCTTTACGTCTATGTAGATAGCTCAGATACCTCACTGACTTTAAGTGAATTCATGAATACAACTAGGGAACGCTTTTTTGGTTTACATATACTCAAAGTCAATTGACAGTTGTCTTTGAACGCTAACTGTACCCTGTTGACAGTAATATATTTGTATTTTGTACTACACCATTACATATAATTCATAACACTTGTGTTACACCATTACTAATAATTTATATGTACCATTTTCAGACATGGATCCTTCAGCACTTCCCACACATCTCTGAATGGTCATATATCGATGATTACACTGAAAATATGTCATATGCATGTGCATTCGTCTCGCTCAAAAAGAATCAGTCGACCGAACCCTTCAAGGATATTTTAATTGTACAACAATAGATGATATACGCTTTTGACCATACAACCTACACCATCAGGCACATCCCTTGAATGATATAGCATTCTACTCTTGAGGGTTGACTTGTGGATCACATCAGATGTATGTCATGCGTCAATTTGGATATATACAGGTTGTTTCAATAGACTTATTTGTATTTGTTCCTCCTATTATAGTTAGCAAAGATGTAGATGTCATATATGATGATTTTCTTAATCATTTGATACTAACCAAAGCACTGGAAAATGGAGTTGTATTGCGCATTTGACTACGTTTAGTCGTATTTTTTTGTGTCACATCTTTACACGACTCAAAATGATAAGGGAGAGTCGTCTAAGTCAACTCATCAAAAGATATTAGAAAAGAAAATTAAAAAAGATCATGCAGTTGATGTGTTACTTGCACATTGTCGCATTATGAAACTTACGCGATTTATTCTCTGCATGTTGTCGTATTATAAATCTTACGCGACTAGGTATTAGACAAATGAAACTTTCTAAAAGACATTTCTGAAAAGACCAAAATGACATTCTATTTGTGACACCATTGACATTGTAGTACAAAAAATATCAAAACAGTAAAGGTTCTAATATATACATTAGTTTTGAAATTTGTTATTTTGATTGTCTTGTACATTCATATATAAACATCTATTAAGATATATTAAAATTAAATCTTACACGACTTTATTGATAACTTATTCTTTTACTCGCGTCATTATTAAAATTTTGATGTGGTACTCTTTAAAAGACACATTTTAAAATTTCTTTTAATTAAAATATTTCTATTTTCATATTTCATGATTTATCTCCTTCAATCCGCTAACTAAAAATCATATATACTAATTAATTAAAATCATATATACTAATTAATTTACTAAAAATATATATACTAATTAATTAAAATCATATATACTAATTAATTTATTTCGATTTCCACAATACATCCAAACACATTATTATAAATTACTTACATTAAAAAATTATATACTCATCATACATCAAAATTCAATCTATTAAAATTTATTTTATTCTTTATTGTGCATACTAATTTCTTTTGGAGAAAAAATAATCAATTAATTTTTAAATAACTCAATAAAAAACTATGAGATTCAATTTTAAAAAAAATTATTTAATAAAATTTAAATTGAAGGATAATTTAATTAAATTAAATCAACTAAATTTTATAATGTTTTTTTTTTCGCGATGGGAGAGTCTCAATCTAGTTTTATACTATTTATAATACATGGTCTATAGATCATTGATTTTGAATATATACTCGATCAATTCATTATATATAATATTTTTACCTTATTAGACCGGTATATGATTTAATTTATAAAAAAACAAACCAAATTTGTTCTTCTCCACCGCTTAGGGTGAAAGATGGACTTACACTACCCGACAGAAGCACGGTAGAAGAACCCTACTAACTTCTATGAAGAAATCAAAATAAATAAAAATTTGCTTATAATAACTCAGGGGGGAAAGCATTGCGAGGAAGTGTGTCTTGCGAGTCAATATATTTTACTATGCTTAAATTATATTAGTAGAGAGGATGGGATGGGTTCTTTTTTTTCTTTGAACAACCATAAGTGTGTTAACGCTGAGTAGAAATTTGAAGAACAGCATAAGCAACTAATATATAGAAAGGAAAACTAAAATTGCTTGACTAGAGAGGGAACAATAGTTAGCTGCCACAATTAACAAATAATAATATCAAGCATTCTAAGGTATCTTTATAAAGAAATAAATGCTACACTGGTTTTCAAAAATTCCATCACTATATGAATAACATAAAACCTAAGTTCCACCACAAGTCCAACTCATTTACTGCTGAGCGCATTGCACTCTCTGAGCACCACCAGGCATATCATCATCCTCGTCATAAGCCTCCTGCGGAGCTTGTTTCTTCCTCCTTGACTCTTCTTCCATGTTGACATCATGAAGCGTTGTCTCCTCACACTCATCTATCTCCATCTCTGTCAACTGTGATAAAGGCCGAGCTGGCAGAATTGACTCCAAAGCCTTTACCTGATCAAGAGTCAGCGACTCGGGAAACTCAACTGTGAAGTGAATGTAAAGTTTGCCCTTCATGAATGGCCTCTGGTACATTGGCATGCCTTCATCATTGATTGCCTTGTAAGAATCTGCATAATCAACACATTAAAAACTTGACTACCACAGCTTAACAAAGATTCAATAACTAAACAATGTTTTGACAAAACAATAAACAAGATGTGAATAAACTACATACCAGGTTTGACAACTTCTCCAGGATTTGATTTAATCAAGAGTTGCCGAGCATCCAAATGAGTCAGGACAAACTGGAAACCACATAAGGCTTCAGTGAGGGACAAGGTGTGCTCTACAACAAGATCTTCACCCTTTCTGGTGAACTTGGGATGCTCCTTCTGTTGAAGTACAAATACAATATCTCCAGTAACTGTATCCGGCTGCAAAAACATGAAAACATAAAATCAGTATCAGTATCTATATTAGGTTTTTAATCCGGCTCAAAATCAAGAACACTTTGACGATCCTTCCGATCCTTCCATACCGCTTCATCAGCTTCACCAGGGAATGTAATCTTCTGCCCGTTAAGCATTCCCTTTTCAACATGAACTTCAAGTACTTTCTTCTGTTGAACAACCTTCTCTCCCTTGCACTGTGGGCATCGATCTTTGTCAGTAATTGTCTCTCCAGTGCCCTTACATTGGTTGCAAGGATGTTGCATTTGCTGAATCATATTGGCACCCAGATGCCTCATAGAAATCTTCATACCAGTTCCATCACAACCAGAACATGTCATGGAAGCCCCAGACTTAGACCCTTTCCTGTAATCAAACAAGCAACAATGTAAGGTATCATCAAACCAAATCAAAATCATTACAAAAGAACCAACAAATAAAGGTAACATTTTACACACCCATTGCACTTGGAACACAAGACATTTCTTGAAAGAGAAAGCTTCTTAGATGTCCCAAGGTAAAGATCCTCCAAAGAGACCTTCAAGGGGTGAACAACATCTTCACCATGTCTCTGTCTTCTGCCTCTACTACCACCACCTATTCACAAATACAACATTTTCTTTTAACACAAATACAGCATATAATTATTGGTTGAATAAGTCCTGAATTTCCTTAATCTAAATACCAACAAGAATCCATACCTGGAAATCCACCACCACCAAAGAAAGACGAAAAGATATCAAACGGGTCATGGCCACCGCCACCGCCACCCATTCCTTCCTTCAGCGCATCTTCACCATATTGATCATATATTTCACGTTTCTCAGGATCACTTAAAACCTCATAAGCTTGTGCAAGCTCTTTAAACTACAACCAAAACAAACATAAAAACAAATCAAAACCTAGTTTCACCATATAATAGATCAAAATAGTTTTTTACACCAAATACCAATACACAATAACCCCAACCCTAAATCAATCACACTATCCCAAAATTAGGTAACAATTCAATCCCTAACAACCAATCTCAATACGATTAACAACAATCAAAATCATATGCAATTCAGAGAAATCAATTAATCAAATCAAGAACAAAATCGATAAGAAAAATACCTTCTCAGGATCACCACCCTTATCAGGATGATTCTTGATAGCAGCTTTTTTGTAAGCTTTTTTCAAATCATCAGGAGAAGCGCTCTTCGAAACGCCAAGAACTTCATAGTACTTTGTGTTATCGCTTTTCTTCGGTGCTCCTCTCCCAAACATCTTAACCTTGTGCGAATTTCAGAGACGAAATCAATCGAAACAAAACCCTAATTTTGAAACTTTGTGAGTTCTTATTGCTGAAATAGATCTCAACGGAATTGTGGAGTTGAAGTAGCGCGATGCCAAAGTGAGTACTTTGTCTCGTGTTTATATAGGGCTTCTGGATTTGATGCACGGCTAGGATTTAATCTTTAATTTGATTTAGGGCACCCAGAAGGATCTAGAATTTATTTTACACCAAGTAATTATGAAAAATTGTAAACCGTTGGATCTGCTTTACAAGAGGATCTCGCTATTCTAGATCCTTCCTCACACGTTTTTATTTGTTTTTTTACCTTTTTTTTTTTTTTTTTTTAGCTGTATACATTCTTTTCCAATCTCTTTGGGTCTGTCTATATTTGATTTCCTCGGTATTCTGTTTTCAGATACTGCTCATTTGTAAGCGTTTATTAGGAATTTTTGTTTAGTATAACCAAGTATGATTTTATAATTACCATATAAAAGTTAGTTTTAAATTTTTTTTCAAACAGGCCACAATTTAATTTAATTGGTTTTGGATTTTAAGTAGAGTCGCCAAATAGAATGGCGACAGTGTATATGTATATGTTGTTTTTGGGTCTAACTGAAGTCGCCCAACTAATTGGCGATTCAGTCCAATCGAGGATTTTTATTTTTTTAATTTTTAAAATTAATTATTATTAAAACATAATTATTATTAATATTTAAAATAAAATTTTTAATTAATAAACATAATTGACGTTTAATATTTTTAATTTTTTCATATAATTTTAAAATGTTGTTTTTAATTAATAAACTTAAAATAGTTAGGTTTAAATAAAAATAATGTTAAATTAAGAAAATAAATTTAGGTTTAATTAAAAATAAACTTAAATTGATTTTATAAATTTAAGTTTAATAAATATAGTTTTTATACATTTAAGTTTAATATAAATATAATTATGATTATAAATTATCGTTTTTAAGTAATAATTATAAACTAAGTAATAATTATTGTTTTTGGGCCTTAAATATTTTTTAAATTTTAATTATAAATTTATTTAAATACAAAATAAAAATTGATTAACCATTTAATTTTAAAGTATATAAATTAATTTAAATTATAAATTTTAAAACATAAAAATTGATTAACCATTGAATTTTAAAGTGTATAAAATTTGTAAGGGTATTTAAGACATATATTATCGGGCACGTACAATTTTATTTTTCTATAAATACGACTGCAAACACATATATGTTTTTGTTAGAACACAGATTGGTGTTTCTTATATCTCTATGTTTTGATGATAACTTTTATGGAATTTTGTAATGAGCAAATATACACTCTAAAATTTGTTCAAGTATTATTGTTTCAGGTATAAAATCAAATACTCTTAAAAGAGGCGAAATAAGTACAAAGAAACTATGCAAAGATCTGAAGCATCAGATGCAAGACTATCAGAATGATATGAAGCGTTACTGAAAGAAGTATACAAAAGCTGAAAGCTCTGATCTTATCAGACTCTGAAGTTCTTTTCACTACAAACTCAGAGGCCTTGACAACCATACTCTTATCATTAATATTCACGCTCAAAGCACATACTGCTGCATACTCTGATGAAGACTCTGATCAAGACTGAAACTCTGATACATTAAAGATCTGATCATCTATCAAAACTCTGATACATTAAAAGATCTGATCATCTATCAAGACTCTGGACTTATCATTCATCTTAAGCTCTGATCATCTTAAAGCATTTCATACCTTTTAGACTTACTACAAGTTCTAAAGTGCAGATTGTGAAGACTTCATCTTGAAGGAAGCTTGTTGAAGAAGTTGTAAACTTGATTAGACGTGGTGCTACTTCCAAAGTAACCAACGACTAATTTGTCCAAAGAAGTGACGTGGTGCAAATCCCAAGGCTTCTACAACCATACCTTTCTGCAGAAAGCATATCTCTGCCCATACTTTTGGTGATGAAAAGTCATACAACCAAAATATTATATTCAGCTGCACATCACTCAAGGCATTTGAATAAGCTATAAAAGGAGAACTACTTCAACATTTTGAAGCTGCTAATTCATTACTCATCTTTTGCTCATTGCTAAATCACTCAGAAAGAAATACACGCTTGATTCATAAAAGAGAAAATCTCTCAAGATCTTACTCATTTGATCTTTCATAAAACCATATAGTTTTTGTTGTACTTAATCTTAAGTGTAAACATCACAGTTGTGATACAGCTTATTAGAAGCATTCAAACACTTGTTAGTTTACATTAAATTGTAAGAAGTTCCTTAAGAAGACCAAGGTGTGGTCAGTAGTTCTTGAGAAGACTAAGATAGTTGTTCTTAGTGCTTTCTATTGTAATCAGTTGATCAATAGTGGATTAAGTCCTTACAGAGAAAGGCAAATCATCTTTGATAAGGTGGACTGGAGTAGTTGAGTTCAACGAACCAGGATAAAAATCTTGAGTTGTTTTTATTTCCATATTTCTTAAAACTCTTATTCAACCCCCCCTTCTAAGTGTTTTTCTCGCCTTCAGTTGGCATCAGAGCTCCGGTTCTGTTTGTGCTATCACTTAACCGTGACCAGAAAAGATCCAGTGAGAAAAACTCTTGATACTCTTGGTTAATATACATTATGGCTGCTGAAACTCAAACACCCAACAACAACAAATATGAAGAAAGAGTCAGCACAAAACCTCCCATGTTTGATGGAGAGAAATTTGATTATTGGAAAGATAGACTGGAAAGTTTCTTTCTAGGATTTGATGCTAATCTTTGGGACTTAGTCATTGATGGATATGTTCATCCCACTGATGGGAATGGCAAGAAAGTTGACAGAAAATCAATGACTGAGGAGCAAAAGAAGGAATTCAGAAATCACCACAAGGCTAGAACTATATTGCTAAATGCTATATCTCATACTGAATATGAGAAAATAACCAACAAAGAAACTACCTTTGATATATTTGAATCCCTGAAGATGACTTATGAAGGGAACTCTCAAGTCAAAGAAACCAAGGCTCTGGCGCTGATCTAGAAGTATGAAGCTTTCAAGATGGAAGAATCTGAATCTATTGAAGCAATGTTTTCCAGATTCCAGATTCTCACTGCTAGCCTAAAGGTTCTGGACAAGGGTTACTCTACAGCAGATCATGTCAAGAAAATAATCATAAGCTTGCCAACCAGATGGAGACCCATGGTCACTGCTCTGAAGCTGGCAAAGGATCTGAACAAGATTACGCTGGAGGAACTAATCAGTTCTTTAAGGAGTCATGAGATTGAACTAGAGGAAGATGAGCCTCTAAAGAAAGGTAAGTCAATTGCGTTAAAATCTAATAATGTTGTTAAAGCATTGCAGGTATTAGAAGAAAGCTCTGAAGAGTCTGCTTCTGAAGATGAAGAAGAACTATCCTTGCTATCCAGAAGAATCAATAAACTCTAGAAGAATAAGCAAAGGAAGTTCAAGAACTTTAGAAAACCAGATCAACACAAAGAATCTTCTGGGCACAGAAGATCTGGAGAACATTCTAGATTCAGAAGATCTGGAGAATCCTCTGGACACAGACGATTTGGAAAAAGAGAGATTGTTTGCTATGAATGCAAAGAACCTGGGCACTACAAAAGTGATTGTCCAAAGCTTCAGAAGGAGAATCCAAAAAGAAAGTCAGATCATAAAAAGAAAGTTTTGATGGCTACCTGGGATGACTCAGATGCATCTGATTCGTCATCAGAGTCAGAAGAGGAATGTGCAAATGTAGCATTCATGGTTGACATTAAGGACAAAACGCGTTGAAAGTTTCTAGACAGGAACTTGTTGAAAGTTTATCTGATATTATTGAAAACTATAGTAAAGTTAAACTCAAATACAAAACGCTTCAAAAGCATATTGAATTTGAGAGTAACAAGGTTGAATCAGAAATAGCTAAACTAAAAGCTGAAAATCTTCAATTGAAAAATAATTTAGAATCTGCTCAATTAAACTCTGATTCAAAATCTGAATCATGCTCTAAAAATATTTTACAAGAGTATGACTATAGTTTCAAGAAGTTTCTAACTAAAATCCTAGACAGAAGCAAAATGGCTTCAATGATCTATGGTATTAGCAGAAACTATAGAAAAGGTGTTGGATATAAATCTTTCTCTTATGAATATTCAAATCCAAAATCTATAGATAAACTGGATATCAAGTATCCTCCTTTATATTCTCAGTTTACATTTGGTCACTTAAATGATATTAAACACACAAGTTCTAATCAGAACAAATCTGTGTTTAATAAATCTAAAGCTAATCAGAACAAGTCTTATGTTGAAAGACAGAAGTTCAGAAAAAGCTTTAAGGCAACTAACCAAAAAGGACCCAAGAAAATCTGGGTACCTAAGGACAAAATAATCTATGTTGCAGACATCCTTAGCAGCAAAGTCAAGACTCCAGTCATGGTACCTGGACTCTGGATGCTCACGACATAACTAATGTTTTGCTTATTGAAGGATTAGAGCTTAGATCTGGAGGAGATGTCAAGTTTGGAGGGAATCAGAAGGGCAAAATTATTGGCTCTGGAACCATAGGCAATGGTAAATTTCCTTCCATAACTAATGTTTTGCTTATTGAAGGATTAGCTCATAATCTATTGTCCATAAGTCAATTAAGTGACAATGGTTATGACATTATCTTTAATCAAAAGTGTTGCAAAGCTATTAGTCAAAAGGATGGCTCAATCCTCTTTAATGGTAAAAGGAAAAACAACATTTATAAAATTAGTCTTTCAGAACTTAAGGTTCAGAATGTTAAATGCCTTATGTTTGTTAATGAGGAACAATGGGTCTGGCACAGAAGATTGGGTCATATTAATATGAGATGCATATCTCAGATTAATAAGCTTAATCTGGTCAGAGGACTTCCTAATCTGAAGTTCAACTCAGATGCTCTTTGTGAAGCATGTCAGAAAGGAAAATTTTCAAAATCATCTTTTAAATCCAAAAGTGTTGTTTCAACT